GGGAAAACCCCAGCCTGTATCCAGGCTCTGGATACAGCCATGACGTTTGCTATTAAGGTTGATGTGAAGCTCCATACCTGCCAGGACAGCCAATGAACCCCAATTATTAATGCAGCCCAGAACTTGGCCACTGGAAGGTGGACAATAATCCTAATGCCAAAAAAATCCCCCTCTCCCTCAAAAAAGAAAAGAAAAGGGACAGTAGCCACTTTCTGCCAGCTTCCCCCGGTGGATCCCCATCAGCCGCCACCTACAGAAGATCAGCAGTGCCAGATCTCACCAGCATCGACCCAGTACATTCCCAGTAAGGTGCATGTCTGCAAGGTGCTGCCAGGGGGCAAAGAGGCTTCTTGGGACACTGTCAGAGCTTCCTGTACTGCCCTGCTAGAGTACATGCGGAGGAAGCTACGGTATGCGAGGAAAGAAACCCAAGCGGAGTTTCTAGACTTGTGATGGCCAACAATTGTCCATGTTGCCTTGGGTTCGGGTGGCAGAGGGGGATGCAGAACTGGGCTGAGAGTCACTTTGGTGCAACTGCCTCTGATGCTCATCACTAGTGCATGGGGTGGGGGGGAGGAAAAGTGATGGCTGCTTTGAGAAAAGAGGAGTGGAAGAAGGACGTGTGCAACAGAACAAGGCTTGCAAATCTAGGACTAACCACTGGACATGGATACCGCAGATTACCTGTGACAACTAGCTACCTTTCTACGTCGCTGCTCCTTCCTCCATTTCCTGGTCTGATTCTTCTTCAGTTTGGGAAGCCATGGCTGTTTGGTGTGATGGCCAGCAGCTGACTCTCCCACCCCAGTGCCTGCACAGCGCACAGTGACTCATCTACAGGATGTACAATGAGGTCTAGAAGTCGCATGTTAGGCACAGACCAGCTCTGCATGCAAGCAGTGCGTGCTTTCAGACCCTTCAGAAAGCTGTTTAATGGTGGCTCATTTCCTTTATTAAACTGGAGGTTCAATAACCTCTGCAGAAGGAGTAAAAATGGTTAAAAATGTGCAAAAATGGGGGGGACGACAACACATACTTTCTGAATTTTCTCCCCTGCAAAGACTTCATCCTCTGCAAGAGTCCTTCTCCCTGCAGAACTACAGCCCTACCAGCATCTCTTACAGCACCCTGCCCCAGTGCAGCAAGAGCACAGCTGACAGGCATCCCACCTGCGCCTCCGCTGCAGGTCTCCAGCCCGCACCAGGAGCACATAGGCTGGCAGGCCTGGGACCTGGCGCTTGGGTCCCAGACCTCCTGCAGCACTGAGACTGGGAGGGTGAAGGCAGCCGGCTTGGCTTGCTGGATCACACCAAGGTTTTACGCTAGCCTGGAGAACCGTCAGCCCCACAGCCTTCAGGTGGGCGAAGAGAAATCCCACCCTGCTCTCTGGCTGACCCATCATCATGGTTGTTGGATATCCTGCTGGTCTGATGTTTGCCTTGGGTTTGTCTCAGGACAGAGGCAGCTACAAGCTGAACACAGCTGCTACCGCAGCTTTTCCGTGCAAAGAAACTGAGCAAAGAAATCTGTGAGCTGGGGATGGGGATGAAGGTGATCAAAACCAGAAGGGCTATTGTGAAGAGAGCTTGTCCAAGTTTTCCAGCTCCCTCCATAGATCTGTATTACACCTCCCAAAAAACTTCTTGTCTCCCAAATCACGTGGGCTTGAGGAAAGTGGGTAGCAAATGGAGTCATAGCTTTTCTGGGGTGCAGAAGCAAGAAGGCAGCCTGGGTGGAGAGCGGTGCTTCCCAATGAGCTCACCTGGGGCAGCTGGATGGGCAACTAAGGGAGAAATGCTGCTATGGGAGGGCAAAGATCTCAGCAGGTAATGGGACTTGTCTCAGCACGGCCTTTCAGTGGCCTTTGCTTTTCCTGGTGCCTGCTGTGCTGGTTTCCAGTGACACATCTGAGACATTTTAATGAGGCTTCTTTTGTACCTTCCACCTGTATCACCATTTGTTACTATGGAAATGGCTCCACAGACCAGGCACAACAAGGCTCAGAGCCACCACCAGTGGCAAGTGTGTCAGGGAAGCACTGGGAAGAGCTGCTCTCCAAAGGCAGGGAGATGGTTGCATGGGCCACGGTGCTCTGCTCCATGTAATCTCAATTAGTCCCCAGCCTTTGCCTCCCCAGCAGGCTGTCAAAGCAGTGCTCAGCCAGGCAGCATTTAGCTGCTGTGATCCTGGGATTGCCACCAATGTCAAGGGAGGCAAAGGAGGGGACATAGCTGTAATTTTTTGCAAGCAATGTAGCAGCTCAGCTGCGTAATACAGGGAATTAA